AGAAGAAGAAGAAGAAGAAGAAGAAAAAGAAGAAAAAGAAGAAGAAGAAGAAGAAGAAGAAGAAGAAGAAGAAGAAGATGACAATGATGATACTGATGATCACCGTAACGTGCCATAACCACATGCTCTTCTTTCCCTCGACCTGCTGTCTGTTGACTTGGCACGCAACTCTTGTGGAATGACAGACTCGCTAAGAGCTTTTGTGCACCTAACAACGAGATGGCTCGATTGTTGTTTTTTTTTCCTAAAGGTAGTTTCTGCATGATTTGAGCCAGTCCACGAACACACAATAGTAGAAGTCGACGATTGAACCACGAACATGGAATATTGGTATTATGATACATAATAAATAAATATTTTACATTACATAGATTAACATCAAAAAGGGGAAAGTACGAAAGTCCGTTTACATATTATGTGTAACGACGCAGTGGAATCAGGTTCTCGTCAATATTTGGCCATATGGAGTCATTGGTACCTTCTTAAAGCGGGTTCATTTGCCTTGCTTTTGTTGAAGAATAGCATGGAGAGAAGTCGAGTCAATTTGTGTGATTGAAGGAGGTGGGGGTCACCTACCTGTTGTGAACGGTAACATTAGCGTGAAAATGACCACCGAAGTTTTATTTGAATTCCAAAGCTTTAGTGTCCTTTAAAATTGCATGATATAAATATATAAATAGTAAACTATTTTGTTCTTCTTTTGATTAATTCGATCAACGTGTTTCAGTAAAATCGACAAAAAAATGTATTTTTAAACGAGCTTAACAGATACTGAGCCTAATGAAGAACATTTTGAAAATAATGGCCCAACTGCCAGAAAAATGCCGTTTTCTCCCATTTCATCATTTTGACGAGGGCCAGATTTCACCACGTTGTCTCACATTATAGAAAATTACACATTATTCAGATTTTCATCATTGCTACTCACAGGCCAGCTGACGATGAAAAAAAGTGAACTTTCAAGATAGGAATTTGCCAAGATAAAAAAGAAAGCCTGTGAATTAATCAGTTTATAGGAGAGCTTTGATGCAGCTCTTCTTTGAATAGACGTAATTTATTGAATGTTTAAAAAAAAGACGTGTTGAGAGTTTGGAAAAAAAAGGTAGGGTGGGGGGTTTGGTGAGGGGTACTTTGCCAATGTCAGCCAACATGAGCCTGTTACTCCCTATTTTTTCAGTTTTTTTGTTGGTTGTTGTTTGTTTTTTTTGTTTTTTTTTTTGGGGGGGGGGGCAGTTTACAACGTTTTATTCATTTTATAGAATTTTCGCAGCTATTGTCGTTTAGCGTTGTTGTAGCCTATAGTTACCGAGCACAATAGAACCACTTATGTCATTGTCACAGATAGATTGCTGTTGTTAGTGAGTTGGTAAAGGGCTGCTTGCTCTGTGCGTGTTGTCTAGTCCTACTCTTCCTCCTCCACCTCTTTCTCCTCCTCAGCCTT